GAATGGAAAGAGAATCTGTGCTGACCCCAGCGTGCACTGGGTGAGAAAACACATGGATCACCTGGACTCCAGACTTACAGCTTGAACCAGTGAAGTCTGTCACTGCTGCCACGCAGTGATGAACACAAGCGCTGAATTAGGAGGAGTGTTTAAGAGATGTGACCTGAACCAGAAACACAAGTTACATTTGAAAAACAAGTCTGTGACCATCTGCCTGATTGACTCCAATATTTACCAAGCTGTGAAGTCAAACATTAGTTTTTGAGTTTATAACTAAAGCTTGCTCTTTTGCACAATTTGCACGTTTACCCATGTGGGCTGTACATCAGTGGTGGACGTGCTGGATTCTACAGTATATGTGAAGCACTTTGTAGCTGTTTGCAATATAATGTATATATATATGCAGTATATGTGGAATTAGTATTAATTTACCTTGCACATTTTCTAGTTATGCAAATATATTTTACAAATAAATGTTTTATGCTGAAAACCTGTGTATTTTGTGTGTTAATTTTAATGGTGAACATCCAGAAATCCATTTAAACAGGATTCTTCAGCTCATGTATTAAACGTCTGCCTGTTTTCCACATCTCCACTCCTCATGAAATTCTCATCCTTTAAAGCACCAGGTTTTCTTCACAGGTTCTCAATTCTGTTTTCTCTTTTTAAGTAATACTTACAGAGAACATTGTGTAATCAACTTGTGGGTAAAAAAGGATGTTTAGCAGATTACATAGTCAGCAATTTCACAGCTTCTGTTTCCGAGTTAAGTTAATTCCCAAGACAAGTGAACCACAAACACCCTCTCTTGTGTTACTTTGAAATGAGCTGTGAGGAGAGTTCCTATTCTCTTCACTCCTGTTGTATCTCTAGAAAACAGAGAGCTGGGTGGACAGAGCAGTCAGAGTCCACAGCTGCACTGGACCACTGTGAAGATCCCGTTCCTCTCAGACTCAGCGCACTGTAAAGACCTCTCTGCTCTTCAAACTCAGCTCGCTGTGAAAATCTCTCTGCTCTCAGACTCAGCTGACTGTGAAGACCTCTCTCCTCTGAGAATGAACTCCCAGAGCTTCACTCCTTGCGCTGCTAGGTGTCCTGACACTGACCTCCACTGCATGTAAGTGATGTACTTTTGATTAGAAATAGGACCAAATGAAAGACAAGATTTATCTTTCAACAAACTCCAAGTATCAAGAAATATGAAGAATTAGAGGCAAAAAAACAAGGATAGAAATTAGAAATTTTTCATTAGTCACTCTGGGAATGGATTCAGGTTTTCAATTTCCTGAGTACTTAACTGTGTTGATTCAATTAGTGTAACTGGTCTTAATTACATGTCTACAGCTGTTGTAGAAAGGGCTAATAATGGAGCAGTAGGGTGACACGTGTGTGTAACAAAGTCTTCATGTATGTTGCTTGTATTTAATTAATCCAAGGAACTCATCCAGCCTGCTCTAAAAAGAAGCCAGGGTATCAGTGTATCT